ATATGCACTTGATTATTGACTGGACTTTGTTGTAAATGTCCAGATATTTCAGGCCCCATTATCAAGGAAAGGGAAGGCAGATCCAAAGAATGTTGCTTCCATCATATTGGGCGGAGGTGCTGGAACTCAGCTCTTCCCTCTCACTAGTACTCGAGCTACACCCGCTGTAAGATTATCTTTTTTATGTTGGCTTTGAGAATAGGATCGGCCTAAGCTTCTTGACTTGCAACACAAGAGGGATATTGATCTTAATTAGCCGAACTTGATGATGAACAAAAACCTGCAGAAACAAAACAGTGCCTTTCTTTTGTATTGGCCGAAAGAACAAAAACACAGAACCTGCAGGAAATTTTCCTCTCTGTTTTGTTGATGAACCCGAGCAATGATGGAGCAGGAACTTTTTTTTTTTCAACTTTATTCACGTTCTTTAAACATAAAGACTTGTTTACATATATATAAACTCTAAGATTACAACTCTAATCTTATCCAATAACTAGAGAACTTATCTACTAACTAGTATTCTATTCTAACTAGAATTCTAACTAGGATTCAAACTACCAATCCGGACTGATTAACAACTCACATTTTATGCCTCTTTTTCCCCGGTAGATTCTTTTTCATCATTAAGCATTGTTTTGTTCCAAATGAGACATATATCAATAGCAGGTATTAAACCTTTTATTTAGATTAATAAAAGATGAATCCAATTTCGCTATAATAGCCTCATCGTGTTCTGATTAATTTGGCCGCAAATTAACCTTGGTATTGTGAAGTTTGATCTCTGTGCAGGATGATAATGCCACCGTCTTTTGCTTCTGTGATGTCCAAGTGACCAAGCTGTCACCTAGATAAAATGCCATGCCGCCTGTGCTGCGCCTGTCATCAACGTCTCCCGCAAGGTCACTATCAGTGAATCCCACCAACTCTTCATTGCCTCGACCTCGTTTGTACACCAATCTGTAGGACATAGTACCCTTCACGTACCTCAAAATATGTTTGACAACCTGTCGATGCAAAACTGTAGGGTGCTCCATGTACCTACTCACAATCCCCACGGCATATGTGATATCGGGTCGGGTGTGAGTTAGATACCTCAAACATCCAATAATGCGTCTATACTCCGTCACGTCCACCGGTGTTCCTTCAGAATCTTTTCCAAGCTTTAGCTTTGTTTCCATAGGATATTGGGTCGGGTTGCAATCCATCATGCCGAACTGACCCAAAACTTTCTTCGCATAGGCCGCCTGCCTTAGTGCAATACAATCATCTCGCTGATCCACCTCGATGCCAAGGTAATAGGAAAGTAACCCAAGGTCACTCATCTCGAACTCCTTCATCATTTGTTGCTTGAAAAACTTTATCTCATCCGCCCTCGAGCCCGTAACGATCAAGTCATCTACGTACACGCCAACAATGAGTGTATCTCCTCTGTTACTCCTTGTGTATACCGCCTGCTCCTGAGTGCATCTTGCAAATCCGATGCCCTTCATGCACTTGTCGAGGCGCGTGTTCCATGCCCGAGGTGCTTGGCGTAGACCGTAGAGTGCCTTTGAAAGCTTGTAGACCTTGTGCTCTTGATTCTTCACAACGAACCCTTCAGGTTGAACCACATACACTTCTTCCTGGAGATCACCATTTAGGAATGTCGACTTCACATCCAAATGGTGCACCTCCCACCCGTTCTGTGCTGATATAGCGAGGATTATTCTGATGGTATCAAGCCTCGCCACAGGTGCAAACACCTCATCGAAGTCCACGCCTTGCTGCTGGACGTACCCTTTTGCTACAAGTCTTGCTTTGTGCTTGAGAATGTTGCCTTCATTGTCCTTCTTCAGCTTGTACACCCATTTGAGACCAATGGGTTTGGAACCCCGCGGTAACTCCGTGAGTACCCAAGTCTTGTTCTTCTCGATGGCCTCCAATTCCTTCTCCATAGCTGTCCGCCATTCTTGATCTGATGCAGCCTCGAGATAGTTCGCAGGTTCTTCAGAGATCAGGAACAATTCCTCTGCAGGAAGATCGATCACCTCCGTCTCCGCATAGATGTCCGCAAGGGATCGATAGCGTACGGGAGTCAACACAGCAGCTTCAGGAGGTCCGAACGCGTCCAAAACAGTTTCTGGACTGCTCCTGATTCTGCCTGCAGCACCAGCGGATGTATGCGGACTGTCT